TTAAAAGTAACACAAATGCAAGTATATAAATATAAGGCGATATTTTCTGAAACTTGGCGAACCAATCAATGCGCAACTTTCTCGTATCATGTTTGAGAATCTCCAGGTCTCCAGGATTTCTAGAGAAAAGGTAATGTTATCTAGGCTATAATCGATTTGGACACGGTTTAAACGCTTGTAATCATCATTCTGTCTTTATCATTCATTTTACGTAAAATAAGAATAGAAGTAGTGAAAGCGTTGAAAGCATCCAAATCGACCGCAGCCCTAGCATAGTGACGGTCAACTCGCATTTGAATTTTAGTTTTTCTAAATGACTATAGATGATGCATCAAGCAGAAAAAAACGTTCTGCCAACGGCGCCATCTCACTTGCCGTGTTTCCTTCTTTACTTTCGTGATCCGTCAATCGTCAGTCGTCTATAATCCTACAATGGTCATCAACATCTAGAAAAAGCAGGAACAATTCAAACAAGTAGAGAGGAACGCACCTGTGTATGTTAGTTGAGGATTATCGTGAATTAAAACTCAAAAATAGATTACGAAAGGATCAGAAGAAGAGAAAGTAGCGACAAAGGAGAAAACGCGTTCGTACGAAGCAGCGACAGGCGACGAACTAATAGACATTTATTCCTGAATCGACGTTTCATTCTCTGCAATTAAAAAGGTAGTCAATTTTCCTATGTGATTATGTACGACAGAGAAGGCAAACAAGCAAAACAAAAATGTCTGTCGGTCGTTTAAGACATATATAGTGAAACGGAAGCTTCGAGAATAACAAATGATAAAATGGCGAATTAGGATTGTGCTAAGAGCTAGGTTAATGACGTTGTTGTATCCTTTTGCTTTGTGCGCAGGAAAAATCCTTGAGTTGGAAATACTTTTCCAATCATTAGAAGTCATAAGAAAAATGAAATTGAAATTATTTTTACACGAGTCGTTTTTTACATGCATTGCAAAATGTTAGATTTAGATAAACATATACTATAAAAATTTCTCTTAAATCACACGATCATGCTAGAAATTATTTTTTAAGATCTTGGAAAATTAACAAATCACATTCGAACAATTTCGACCACTTGACCAATGCAATTGTTCAATTCTTTCTTCATTCAAAATTTCTGAGCAATTTATAGCATTATGAATATAAAGCTTATAATAGCGGTTTTTTTGTTTTTAGAAAGCACAGTTGATTCAAATGTTATTTTTTGTTATTTATTGAAGATATAATTATATCGTGTCCGAAGGAAAGCAGCCAATGTTAGTAGTTATTTTGACCTGAACCTTTTCTTTCTTGTTTTCTTATACATAAAACTTTAAAATATTGTCAACGTACAAAATAATCTTCCATTTAAATTTTGCCTATTTAAGTTTCCATTTAAATTTTGCCTATTTAAGTCGTGAATTACTTTGCCAAAAACTTAGAGAAAAAAATAAGATTTAGTGTATTATTTTCAGTTTGTAAAAGAATCTTCAAAAGTATTGTAAAACCCTGTTTCAAAATATTACTTTGTTTGGTCTACCATCAAATCTGTTTTTTGTATAGATGCCTAACATAAAGTTACAAAGCTCTGATGGCGAGGTATTCGAAGTCGATGTTGAGATAGCAAAGTGTTCAGTTACTATCAAGACTATGTTGGAAGATCTCGGTATGGACGAAGATGAGGAAGAGGTTGTACCATTGCCAAATGTAAATTCTGCAATACTAAGGAAGGTCATACAATGGGCTACGTATCACAAGGATGACCCTCCACCACCAGAAGATGACGAGAACAAAGAGAAGCGTACTGATGACATTAGCTCTTGGGATGCAGATTTCTTGAAAGTGAATATCTGCTGAATTTTATAAAATGACATTACAGTAATGTACAAAAATGTATATGTGTGCCTACGTACGTGCATGCGTGCGTGCGTGCGTGCGTGCGTGCGTGCGTGCGTGCGTGCGTGCGTGCGCGCGCGCGCCTGTGTGTGTGTGTTTTAATATATGTTAATATATAAATACTTAATAAAAATTCATAATGAATAATAATGAAGGTTGTTGAAAGTATTAGATTTTTTTAAAACTTT